AGTATATATATTTAAATTTTTATATTATTTAAATAAATATTTATGAAAAAAATTAAAAATTATAATTTTTTTTGTAACATATTATAAATATAATTCACTTACTTTTATTTTTATATAATTTTTTAATAATGAGATATTTCATATTTTATTTCTTAAATAAGCTATTATATAATTAATTTATATTTAAAGAATTATGATAATCTATAAATATATTGATTATTACAGTTTCTTTAAATTATATTACTTTAAAATTTCTATTTTCAGAATTTTATACAGATTTTAGATTAATATAATCAAAAAATTAGTAATGATCTAATAATTAGTATATTTACTAATTATTATTAATTTGATATTTATCAAATTTACTAATATAAATATTGCAAAAATCTATTATTTAACTTATTAATAAATTATTTATTATATCTTTATTGAAAAATATTTTGAAATTAGATTATATTCTAGTTAGTTATGCTATAAATATTATCATTATCTGTCTTTAGATAAATTTTTTGATAATTATTAATAAATTAATATTTATATACTTAATAATATATCTTGAAGATTCTTTTAATAATATTATTAATAAAATATATAATTACCTTTATCATAAGTTTTTGAATAATTTAAGATAAATACTTATTTCTAGAATAATTCTGTATTAAAAAGATAATATTATTAAAAATAATATTAAATTATTAATAATTTTTTATTTTTTTATTTATTTTAAATTATATATTATATATAATTTTATTTTAATTATTCATATTTACTAATTTTAAATATAAAAAAATATAAATAAATTTTTCTTTTTGAAAGATTTTTAAAATTAATAATTATTTATATTTAAAACAAGATTGATTATAAATATAATTATCTTGATTTTTCTATATTAAAATACATTTGCTATATTATATAAATCTTAAAATAATAATATAAGTTGTAATAAATAATATTAAAAAAAAATTTAACTTTAAGAATTAATTATAAGTTTTGCAAATAAATTAAAATTTAACTAGTTTATTCATGCCATTGATCAAAATTTATAATTAGTCAACATTATGTATAGATTTTTATAATGATAATTAATTATAACATATACATAATTAAATATTACACATTAAAAAGAATCGTTAATATTATCAAATTATATATGATTTTCCTCTTTTACATGCATCTTTTCTCTTGCTTTCAGAATTATTTCTTTTAGATCTTCATCAGTCTTTTCATCATTTTGATCACAGTTCTCCGCTGGAGGATTTAAATAAGCCATAAAAGTACTTTCAAGAAACTCGCGTGCAATATCAGCAGTGGATTTAGAAAAAGGGATTGTAGTAAAGTTGAGAGTGTTCTTTTTTTGCCGGTTCTTTTGCTCATTTAAAGAATTTACTATATTTAAAATATAAAAAAAGGAAATTTAAGTGTAACATAACTCATAATTATATATTTAATCTTTCTATATTCAATTACCTTGGAGGTTGGTTTGTTGAGAAGATGTTTGTTGTTGTTCTTTTGAGTTGGGTTTTCCATTTTGTCTTTGCTTTTGAGATTCTACTTTTGATGATGATGGTAATCTTGACCTTATATTTCGAGATGAAGCTATCGAAACAAATTAATAAGATATTGATTATTACAAAGTAGACAGATTAATTAATATCTTACCACGAGTCTCAGATGTCAAAGGTTTCTGCGATGTCTTTTTTTTCAAAGAAGAAACTACGAATGGATCTGCACAAACATTTGGAGCTATATCAGTATTTTTGGTCGAGATTTTATTCCATGCAGATGATGATGAGCTTCGTGAGGAAGAACTTGATCGCTCCTCTAATTCTTCCGAATTATTGGAAGCTACTGCGTAATAAAACTGCCTAGACGAATGAATCAAATACATTAAATGGTTGTGTAAAGTCAGTTAAACTAAAAGAGTTGAAAAGCATTAAATTATGATTCGATTTACCTTTCTGATCGTAAAGATTTATTTTTAGAGGAAAGAGATGGCGTCATCATTTCTTCAATGTGAGGCGGTTCTGTTTTGATGATTTCTCTTCAAGATAAGCAAAACTAATAATATAAAGATGTACAAATGTATCATAAAAAAACTAAAGAGCAATCTTCATAATACTAAAATAAATACTTGCCAGCCAACATTTTTTTATCTCCCCTTGATCCTTTAGCAATAGGTTTAGGCTCAATAATATGTGGATTCAACGTCTGAGTCATCCCATCTACCATCTTCTTGGGAACTACAAAGAACATAGTAAAATCAAATAATCGATGTGTTCTAAGAAAACATAACGGTATAAATCTTTTTTTGGGATACCAACAGCAATCATCATAATGATTATTATTATCGCGTTTTTACCTTTTTTTGAAGTGGATGCTTTGACATTTGCTTCTTGGTCTCTCCACCAAGGTGGTTCATATACATGTTTCTTTTCTTGCCGTTGACCAACTTTGTGCTAAATATGACGAGAGAAACGCGTAAAGAATTGTGCATTTTAGTAATGTCATCAGTAGGAACCGGTAATTTACCTCCATTTTCTTTATAGCATAGGTCAATAACTTTTCTACAACTAGAGCGCGTTTCTTTGGTAGATTTTAGGTGGAAAATCTTCAATTTGCATTGTCTGACTCATTTATCGAAAATCTTGAGATCTATAATAATTTCCGTTATCGCATTAAGAATTTTATTCCATCATAGATTTTTCATTAACGTTAAACATAATGAAATAACCTAAAAGCTTTAATTATGCAATTTTTAAGATCAAATAATTGAGAAATATTGAGAATACAAAATAGGAATGTTTGAGATGTTGTGTTTGAATGTGGAGAAATCAACTCTTTTATAAAACAGCGATCTTAATTATAGAAGAATAAATAAAAAAAAAGTCCCATAGGATCTCACTGTATTTATTTATTTCAATACCGTGAATCAATTATTATAGAAGAATAATAAAAATGTTCTCGTAATATCATAAAGCGGTGCCACGTTCGAAATTTTCTCTGATTTCTCTTGTATATGCATCATAAAATCGTGAAATCTTTTCATTGAATCGCCTATTACGTTCGTTAATATAAGTAATATCGTCATCATCCCTTGCAGCACGTTTCCGAGAATAATTCTCACGTTGGATAATTTGTTTATGTACGTCCTGAACAACCCGGTCAACTGCTTCACGACTTGGCGTCTGATCCACCGTGGCATATGAGAGAGAATTCGCGTCACGAAAGAAGTTACCTTCCACGTCAACTGACGCAACGTTTTTCCCATCTTCGGTGGTGACTAACGAAGCAGACGCCAAAGCCGCAGCTTTCTGTTCCTTATAAGCAGTTAAATTCGGTTTGAACTCATTAATGAGTCGCTCATATTTCTTTTGTGCTACTTGATTATAGTCGGTGAACCCAGTGTTTGCACGGCTAGCTTTTTTCTCTTGCTTTTCCTCCCATTTCTCCGCGTCCTCTATTGAAATGTCCCAGAAATTTTTTCGTTGCCAATCTTCACCTTTTTTTTCGGCTTCTTGTCGTGCTAATAATTTTTCAGCTTCATTTCGTTTTCGTTCTCGTTTTGTCTCTTCTCTAGGATTTGTTTTTGAGCGTTGATGTTCAGCGTAAAGCTCTTTACGATTTTCTTGAATTGCCTCATCTTTTAATTTTCGTAGTTCAGCTAGTTTTTCGAGCCTAGCTTTGAGTGCATCTGCCATTTCTATTATTTTAATGAAAAAGATTTTCACACACTTTGCAAACCAGAATTATTATGGCAAGAAACGAAACACTTTCAAAATCTCATAAATACCCTACACAACAATACTAACACATGACGTTACTATATTGAATTAGAAATCTTGTATCACAATGAATGTTTTTTCTTTCGAAATTTTCGGATAAAGACAAATTGATGCTCACAAGAATGTTGCACCCGGTGTCCGCTTTTATTTATTTTTAGAGACGCTATTCAGAAGGACGAAGAAAACGAAAAAAAACGATGAAAGTGAAAGAAAATGGAAACAAGAACCAACCACACAACCTCAACGAATCTCCGAACGTTTACTTTGTTGCGATTACGGAGTTATGGAATCGGATTGACAATTTTCTATGATATGAGATGAATTTACAGAACCGAGAGAAAAAAACACAATCTCTACTTATTTATTAACTTAGCTTTTGACTTATACTAACAATAAAATGTTAATGGAGATGAGGCAGCGTTGAAAGGTCCAGCAATATCAGTAAATTTTATCGAGATATTAATCACTTTGTTTTGTTTGTTCTTTCGAATCGTTTTTAGGAAAGGATCCGATCTTTTTTTTTTGATATATTCACGCTAACTTTCGAAAATTTAAGGTGAAAATATTTAAACCTTCCAACAAATTGTTCTACTATTACTGGACATGCACCATATCTTAGTTCATCCAGTCAAACCTATAATGATGTTTATACTTGAAAGATATAAATAACAATCAATCGATTATCATTATTGGCGAAAACATCTATTTGTTAACTGGCAAATTTTAAGATTTATCTCTCTCTTTAAGTTCCGCAGGCGTGAAAATTATTTAATAATGACCAAATATTCCGAAGGTTATTTGAGCAGTCGTTATTATGCTGTAAATATCGGCGTTTGTCTATTGATCTTTATAATTCATCCATTATATCGTTTGATAATTATTAATTAGGAAAAAAAGCGATAACGCTGCGAGCATGAAAATTAAAGGTTAAACACTTCCTGATCGAGATAATCGAAAAACATCGGGTTCATGTTATTTTAAAAAAACGGAACGTTAATATACTCGAATATATAAAATAACTGTTCTCCATCATCGAAAGAAATTAACAGTCATTTTTGGTTAAGCAAAGATTGGAAGAGTTGATCATTTTATTAGCTATAATTGGTGCCAGTACTTCTAATTACGATTTTGAGATTTATACGCGTATCGATCGTATATTACATGTTAACCCATTTCACGCGTTCAATAAATTGTTTTGGGAGCGTTAAATTTTTGACATTCAGAATTAGACGCAACTACCAAACAATGTTCAACTACCAAGCAATATCCCAACCCACAGACACATCCACGCGTCGTGGAGCTTTTATAGTATTCGAAGGGTGTGATAGGGCAGGGAAATCGACTCAAGCCGCTAAACTTGTAGAATATTTACAAAATCGGCATAAACAACCATTAAAAAACGATGAAACTTCTATTGCCAGCAATTTGAAAGTAAGTGAAACTATGACGAATAATTCTAATGATTCTGAAGTGGCGCGTTTATGGAAATTTCCTGGTAAACAATTATAAAACATATCTTTTATGGTAAATAAATTTTAGAAATAGCTAATTTTTAACAACGGGTTTTTTGTATATGACGTTCATTCAAGACCGCACAACACTTATTGGGAAAATGATTGACGCGTACCTCAAAAAAACTAAAGACTTAGATGACCATGTTGTGCATTTATTGTTCTCGGCTAATCGTTGGGAATGCATGTAAGTATATTAAGGTGGTTTTTGGTTTCGTGAATTGGATTTTAAGGTAATTCTTTTTTAATATGTTTGTTAACAATTAGAAACATTTTGGCTCTTGATGATTTATTACAGGAACGTCATCAAGAATATCTTGATGAGTGGTACCACCCTCGTAGTTGATCGATACGCGTACTCTGGGGCAGCATTCTCCGCAGCAAAAAAAGTATTAGAATCAATTCTTGTATTTTTTTTAAAGCTAATTAATAAAGTATTAATAAACTTTTTATTCGTAGGATCTTGATATTAATTGGTGCAAATCGCCAGACATCGGGTTGCTTACGCCCGATATTGTATTCTTTATGGATCTGGAACCGGAAGAAGCGGTCAAACGTGGTGGATATGGAAAGGAACGATATGAGAATCTAGAATTTCAAAAGAAAGTTCGAAAGGTTTTCTTGGATTTGAAGGATTCTTCTTGGAAGGTAGAGAATTACACTTGGCATATTCGATCAAATTAGCAGATTAAATAATCTTTATTTTTAGATATTGGATGCACGTCAAACGATTCCTGAACTCCATCAACAAATAATCGAAACTGCAGAAGAAGTGATAAAAAAATGCGAATCAATACCTTTTAGTGAAAATTTATGGAAGAATATACTATAGAATATTTTTTACAATCTAATACGACAATAGTTGGTATGCAATCAGTACATTAAATAGGTAATAATAATAATAATAATAATAATAATATACAAAAAAAACTTAATCTCTATGATTGATCTGTTTTTTTGTTGTCATCTTCATCAATTGCGTCGGCTGGCACAACCCCTTGATTATCGGTAAGACTTCCTTCTACTATATAAGTAAAGGCACCAGATTTACGTTTAGGCGTGACTTCGTATGCAATAAAAAGATTACAGCGAGGGCAGTGAAGTCGATATTGTTTCTCATGTCCCTGTGGCCTATAGAATGAAAAAAAAACAATAATCAAAATCTTTTATGCATATGAATTGATAGAATAAATAACTCAATATACCTTTTGAGCACGATGGGATTATTCGAGGGTTCAATAGCATTCAATTTATAGATGCGTTTACCATTGGATATAATATACGCGTTATCTGTTTTACGCCTTGGTAACCTGTCCAATTTTGCATCTTTTTAATCAGGATTTTCATTAAATAGAGATCATTAAATACAGAGATCATTAATATATATTTTTTTATAGATACTAATTTTTGAGAAATACGACCCGAGAAATTTTACCTATTACAAGAATGAATTCACTACATAGGCAGTAATATACGTGTAAATGTTGCTCCGGTCGACCGTTCGTTTGTTCCGAAGAAGAAACTGTAGAGCTTGAAACAATTTTTGGCATGTTTTATGTGTTATTTTGTGAGGTAAACAAGAAAACAAGGATCATCTTACAGGTCATATATAAACTAATATATAAACTAATATATCAATATTAATAACGATAAATGTCGATGATTTTAATACAACCTTCTCCTGCTACGCACACATACAGACGTTGATCAAAAGTTTTTCTTTCAACTTTTACAGGAATAAACAAATCTTTACAAGCATATTATACTCACGCTAGAAATGTCTGGCATCTGTAGAGCTAGACTAACTGAGGAACGCAAGCAGTGGCGAAAAGACCACCCATATGTACGTGTATATTCATTTTATCATTTAGGCATAAAAATTCACCTTTTATTTTGTAAAGGGCTTTTACGCGCGACCAATTAAAACAGCAAATGGTCTGGACTTAATGAATTGGGAAGTAGGAATCCCAGGAAAGCCGGGGGTAAGTTTTTTTTATTTTTTCTTAGCTTAATAGAATGAATATTCTAAAGCATATATTTTATAGATTTTCCTTTGATTATTTAATTAGACTCCTTGGGAAGGTGGCACGTATAAAATCATTATGGCCTTCCCAGAAGGTATTATTTTTTTTTTCACATTTATTATTCCTTTATTGATCACAACATAAAATTCATTTCATTCGATTGCTCGTATAGATTATCCTAGCAAGCCGCCAAAGTGTAAGTTTGCCTTGTATTTTTATTATGGTTAAGTTGATGTTATTTTTGATTCATCTTCATAATAAATCCATCGTTCCATACACGATATTTAATCAGGCAAGTTCACTCCACCCCTATTTCATCCAAATGTGTACCCATCTGGGACTGTATGCCTTTCAATCCTTAATGAAGAGGAAGCATGGAAGCCTGCGATTACCATAAAGCAGGTAAGCTATAAGATAAAACTTTTCCTTTTTCTCGGATTCTCAACAAAAACCGCCAAATTCGAATAATGATAAGTTCGCCGAAAATATCGTTCTGGTAAATAAATCCCAAAAATTGCATTTGCCAAAATTTGGTATTCTCGACGAATTGCCTTCTTGTTATTGAAATCTTATTAACATGACCTGAACAAAAAATAGAGTCTTGTTGTGAAAGCGACTATTTATTTAGTGGATTATTCAATAAGATGATATACCGTGAAGGTGGTGGAAGTTGGTGGTTCCGACCCTGATACTAACCTACTTTTTTAGATATTATTGGGAATCCAAGATCTTTTAAATGATCCAAATCCCGAGAGCCCCGCACAATCGGACGCATATATGCTATACAAGTATGAGTTTTGCTAATATTGTTTGATAATTTTGTTTCTTTTAGAGAATTAAATCCCAAAATTATATATTTGCTTCGAAATTTTCTAGGAAAGATCGCAAAGAATATGAGATGAGAATTAGGAGGCAAGCGAAGGAAAACGCGCAACAATAGGTAAATTAATTTATTATTAACGCTTATTCTCGCAACTTTTGTGAAATATTAGTTCACATTTTATCATTATATTATATGTTTTAGATTTTTGTATGTGATCATAATCATAAACTATGTACTATTATCTGTTAATTTCTACTTTGCACGTGATGATTTATTTCACTGAGTACTAATGATGTCATATAGGCGAACGATCATTTTAGTTAATAATTTTATCTTGCACATTGTTCTTTTGAATTGTTACGTATTCGTGTTGTAAAAGAATTAAAAAGAATATAACTTAAAGGACTTATTTAACACTTCCAATTTTTTTATTTATGTTTGCTGTGAATAAAAATGAAAAGTTAAGCAATGCTGTCTTTAGAGACAATTAAATAACATGAGAAAAAAAATACAAAATGTCAAAATACTGTTTATATTTATTATATCATTTTGATAGAGGACAACCGATTAAAAATGCTTAATTATGTACATAGCCATGACGGAAAAATAATGTCCCGTGCACGTGATTTTTAAGGGTAAACCAATCAAATCGCAAAATCAATGTGTAACGGAAAACTTTTTTAGGTAATTTGTTGTCGAAATGCTATTATATTTCTTATTCTTGCAATTGCAGGAGGCAACTAAGAAATATCGTAGATAGGCGCAAATAACCTAAACATAAACTTTCTTAAATAATTCACCAGGTTAGTTATTAATTTTATGAGATACACTTGCTATGATAATATACGTGGTCCATGCATAAGAATGAGTGCCGAATAGGAAGATATAGTCATCATATTAATCCTATACAGAATTTATTGAAGGTGATGAAGCTGTTGCCTAAGTTTTAACCGTCCTATTAGTTCACTTACAGAAAAATTTCCTTGAAAGTGTGAGGGATTTTTAGGCATAAGTATTATGGAGCTATTTTTTAAATGTGATAATCATAAGATGATGTCTTTGTCTCTCCCTCTAACTATACAAGAAAAATGCGATGAATTTGTGATAAACTTTATTGAATTTCATATATATAGTTTACCTCAAACTTTTACATGATTGTACGTGAAGGAATCAGACGAAAAACTTATAGAAATTACAACTGGAGTTTTAGATATATTATATTGGCTTGTCTTAAGGTATACTTCAGAAATGATTCTTGAAATGATCCGAAATTTGGATCAGAATTTGCAGATTCATTAAACGAAGGCACATATATAACTAATATAATATTACCTTCAATTCAAATTACATCGAAGAATCTTCCAAATAGAAAATCTACATTTGTTAGTACTTTCAAATGGCAAAATGCTGATAGGAAGGACAAGGAATGATTGATGTCCAGTTGTGATGAGATATGAAAGAAATCTGGAATTTATGTATACAGAATGTTCACGCTTATTTCTGTATGTCACAAAAGGAAAAGATGACAGGATGAAACTATGGCGTGAATTTAATGATGAGTTGTACTGGGTCCTTAAGCGATAAGATGAATTTGGAATTGTGGAATACAAACAAGTAACAGGGAATAAAATGTATTTAGTGTTATCATTCGGGATATGGCTAACGTACGCTGTTATTATCATCTTCATGAGACGGAAATACCAGTACAGACAGACCCATCTATCGTTAAAATTTTCGTGTAAACTCTATTAGTTTTATGGAATATTATAAAATATATCCTTATCGATTAACGTAGATCGAGTAGACATGGAAGATAGTTCATATCATCACTGCGAAAAAAATCGAACTTGATAGTTTATTTATTATCAATAAAGCTGGCTTAATTTCGCATATATAATCTCGTTTACTTTGCACGTATATTTTTGCATTGTACAGATATCGACATATACTAAACCGCATATGATCGATAAATTTTTTTTTGACAAGTGACGGGTGTTTTATGTTATGCGAATATATATATATCAATAAAGTTATAATTCGAAAATGTCAGAAATTTGCGTATGATAAAGTTATAACTATGCTAATAAACAAACTTTTGAATATATCCTGAAAACAATGTCAAACACTCAATAGCTGAGAATGCCGAACTTAAAACCAATCTTTCGAAATTAGCAAAAAATGACGAAGGAAAAAACAACCTTTATTGATGCCGTCTCTTGTGAAACGAATTCTGATGATATTCCTGAACGGATAGAAAATATATTTGGCAATATCGAACTATGATATATGTCGATTCGATGCTCTGCATCATACAGTGTTTAAATCATTAGAAGATAAAGAAATCGAAGAATTTCTGGATAAAGAAAGAACTAGTAACGAGATTAGAGAGAGACATGAAAAAAAACTTCAAATACAAAACTTATCTTCGATCAGAATCTTCCCTGCTTCCCAGTGTGATCATCAATTTAAATTAGAAGTCCATTTATTAAAATTAATATATAGATACATCTTTGTTATTTTTAACTAGCATTTCATCATGTAATAATAAAAAATTTTATAATTTTAAAATCAAGCTCTAAAGCATATTGTTTAAGACGACTAATCCAAGGTGGTTTACGCAAGTCCTCGATTAAAGTTTTTATTTGTTAAATGGGTTTACTATTGCAATGCTTATCAATTGTTGACTTGCGACCTTTATCAATACTGTTCTTTTTGTCGAGTATATACCATTACCCTTTTACTATATTCTCACGTTATAATTTAAATATCGATATTACTTAATATGAATATCAAAAAAGTAAATTATTTATATACACAGTGGGTGATAATAGTTTACGTCCCAAAAGGTTATCTTTATCTGATGCTTACATTTATAAACGCTGAGATTTCTAGCTTTCGAATTTTAAACATTATGATATTGGTGTTAAAAAGTTATAAACTTTTAAGAGATGCCTTTTCACACAAAGTAATTATTAAAAATTTAAAATAATCCAGTATGATAGGTAACAATATGATTAATATATACCAAAAGTTTGAAAACGTTTAGATCGATTCTTAGAAAAGAAGTATCATTAATGAAAATTTACACGAAATGCATTTGGACTGTTAAATGGTTCTAATACTCTTAATGGTGAAAAATATTTAGAAATTCTTAAAATTATCGGCTTTAATTTGCTTCTCATGCTCTATAATGATTTTTTGCAGTAATCGTTAACATAAAATATCTAATTCTTTCTTAATCTGGTGATTGATCTCATCTTCATATATGAAACAAGAATACTTATATATCTGATCATATTTATAGCTACTAGTATCTGAAATTTGAATTTCTTGATCAATCATATTTATATGTATCTTAACACTAGCTTTACTATTATATAGTAAATTTTTCAAGTAGTTCTATAGTTTTATTTTATTTTTTACACTTTTTATTTAATTCTTTTTTATATACCTCTAATGTATAGTACAAATAAATCTCAATTTGATCACATTTTTTAGAAATTTGCTCTGATGTGACAAGAAATCTAGAGTAATATAAAAGCCTGTGATATGCTTTCTTTTTGGAAGTTTCATTATAATGGAGTTATAATTAGAATGAAATATTAACTATTAGTTTGCATACAAAAAGTTTGCAAGTAAAAATTATGAATATATATATCAATAAAAATCAATAAAAAAATAATTATTAATTATCATAAAATAGTAGTGAATAAAAGTCTAAAATATCAGTCCTCAGGAATATCTCAGATAATTTTATTTTAAAGATATATATATATGAATAAGTTATATAATTAATAAATAGATTAAATCAAATAAATAATATATTATAATAAATTAAGCTATATATTATTAATTTGATATATCTCTTCTTAAACTATTCATAATAATTTGTAATATTAAGTGAGTTCTGAAATGCAAAGATCATTGGATCTGTAGAAATACTTTATCTATTTATTTATCAATTTCTCTTGTATATTTAACTCTTTTAATAATATTCTGTATTCATAATTTATAATAATGAATTACTTCTTTTTTAAAGTAAGAGTTATTAGTTTCAAATTTGTTTTTAAGTTTTATATAGCCTTTATAATTAATATTATAATATATATTTTCTATACAATTTATATTCTAATATTTATTTATAAAATATCTAAATTCATACTCATATTTATATCCTATTTTAAAATAAACTAATTTATTATATAAATAACATATTATTATACTTATATTTATAATATAACCAAGATTACTTTTTTATAAATATTTTATTTTTCTAGTAATAAGATAATATTTTTTGTTATTACTTAAGTAATTACTATTCTTATAATTTATTAATTAATTTCAGATTTATTTTTTTATTAGATAAAATTTTTTTATTATGAATTATTAGAAATTAATAGTTATCAAATTACTTGATATTACTTAAAACTGGATAAGTATCTGTATAAATCATATTTAATGATTATATAATTTATAGAATTTTTGAAAATTATGTGATTTATATCAAATTTAGAAATTTAAATTTATTTAATTTAATAATTTAATATATTATAAATATATAATTTAATTTTTATACATTCAAAATAAACTTATATTAAAATCTCAATAATATATAAAATAACTAAATTATATAAAAAAATATTCTAAGAAAGTTAATCATAAATTCTATTTTTAAAAATATTTTTTATATATAATATTTAAGTATTTAAATAAAATAAATATATAATTTTGAGTAAATTAAGTTTGCTAAAATTTTGTCAAGAAAAATCTTGAATATATTAGAATAAAATATTATGTAAATATAAAATATGTATAATTATCAGAGTTTTCTTTTTTTAATCAATTATGATATAGTTTGTAATATATATAGTCACTATATAATTATCTTTAACAATTATATAGAAAAATTACTAATTATAAAATCATGATTTTTCAGTTATATTAACTATAAAATAGCAAATTCAAATAAAAAGTTTTATACATTATATTTTAAAGATATTTTAAATAGATTAATTAATTTGTCTTATAATAAATTATGATCTTTTATTTATTAATATATATATATTTATATATAAAATCTTTTATTTTAATACAACCTACTATATAGTTATAAAATA